CCTACCTGGGAGCTTGCTGAACCTCTTGGTGCTGGAGCTGGGAGTTTCCTCCCCAGCCATCCCTGCTGACATCCCAGAGGAGAAGAAAAGCCTTGATGGAGCTGGGAAGGTTCTCTGGAGAGGCAGAGCAGTGACCCCAGCAGCGACACACAACTGGCACCTCCCTCTGCCTTCCTCCTTGATTGAATTCGTTGTTCATTTACTGCCTTAATTATATTAGGAGAGTGTAACACAGGACCCAGGAGTCCCTTGGAGGCTGCTAATTGTTGCTGGAACGAGGCCAGTCAGGTGGTAATGGAGAGAAAGGGCCATTCCTACAGCCCAGCTCCCCACGGGGAAACGCTGCAGCTGAGACAACGTGGGGCAGAGCCCCCCACCAGCACTGCAGCCCCCAGCTCGTTAGTCACCTCCTTAATTGCCTGGTGAGATCAGGAGGGCTCACTGAAACACCCTTTTTGCACAGGGGAGGTGGTGGAGCTCACTGCTGCTGGTGAGAACCATCGTGGGGTACACGTAAAGCAGGACTGGGGTCTTCTTGGTCACCTCCTGAGCTCTTCTCATGGAACAGCATCTGGGGACACTGGCTGCAGCTGGATGTGTCCAAACTCCTCCCTGGTGGCCCCAGCCCCAGCAGTGCTGGGACACAGCTCGTGGGACAGAGCCCCCTCCCTGTGCCACCCCCCCAAAAGCACCTCTCCAGCTGCTCCCCCAGACTGGGGTGCAGGATCCCCAGTTTTCCTGCTGCGTGGCATCCCCCTCCTCCAAATCCTTCCACTCACGGGGTCATCTGAGGCCCCAGGACCTGGGAGAGTCTCCAGAGCTTCATTTATAAGCCTAAAGGAGAGAAAATAAATCAATTCTGGTTTCTTCTCCTTGGCGGAGTCCTCACAAAGCATCCTGCTGACTTCTTCATCTGGAGACTATCCCAGGTAAGGATGATGAGTGATTTGAGGAGACATTTGGTTCCTCACTGGAATTGTTCCTCTTTAACAAAAGGAACAAGTCTCCTACGTCCTCCTTTTTCTTTTCCTCTCCCTGCTGGAACAGGATCAAGTGAACTTCAGGGCTTGAAGATCCAGAGGTTGCTCAACTCGAGCATCCCCATCCCTGACCCTCAGCTCTGCTCATCACCACGTGACTGCCAAGAGGTTATTTTTATGCCTTGAAAATTAAATGCAACACAACGGGGGAGGAAGAATAAAAGAAAAAAAAAAATAAGTCTTCCTTGTGAAGTGAAGCAGCTCGGGAAAGTTAATGAGGCAAAAGAATCTGCTCACAGGAAAGCTGAAGGTGTCAGGAGTGCCCCAAGGTGATAACTTATTTAACAGAGGATTAAGAAGAGGGAGGAGGAAGACAACACCTGCACTGGGTGCTTATTAAAGCCTAAAGGAGAACATCAAATTAATTATAGAGGGCAAAGGTGCCGTGCCATCTATTTTTAATCACCTCCCAGCTTGGAAGAGTCTTTCCATGTCACTGCAGCTGCCCTTGGGACAGATGGGCCAAAATCAGCCATGGGTGACCCAACCCCAAAGCAGCACACCAGGAAACTTGCTCTTAAAGAAATGATCTGCCCTTAATCCTCTTTTTTTTTCTGTTTTTTTTTTCCTTCTGTAAGTGGGTCAGAGCAAAGGGAGAGCTGTGGAGAGAGGGGTGAGGGGTGGCACAGAATCGAGCAGGGAACTCCCCAGGATTTGGGAAGCCATGGCAGGCAATTCCTTGCAGCATCTTCCTTCTGTATCTGGGTTATCAGAGAAAAAAAGAGAAGGAAAACCCCATTTTCAGGCAGTCCTGCTGCCATGCAGCCCTCGGGTAGGTGCAGGTCCCAGAGACACTGAGCCCCACGCTCAGCTGGGACCTCTGGAAGCCACTGGGTCCATAGAGCTTCTCCAGGCAGTGCCCACAGGAGGGTTCTGCAGGCTGGTTGCTGTTCCTCTGGTCATGGCAAAGCTGTAACTAGCCAAAAGCCATCTCCACTGCCCACACCCCCATGCCAGGCACACGGGACCCATCCCTGTGGCACCAGTTGGCAGGGAGGAGGGTTGCAGCAGTTGGGAGCAGGAGTGTCCACGCTGCTCCAGGAGAACCTGCCCAAGGTCTCCAGACACCTCTCCAGCACTTGAGGTCTCTCCAAATCCAGGCAGGATGAGGCTTGGCTTCAGCTCAGAGGGTCTGCACACCCTCCAGGACCCCCACAGCTCCTCGGAAAGGACCATTCCCAAAACAACACGGTGGAAATGAAATCCTGGTGTGCAGCAGGCAGCAGGAAGGGCCCCGATTTACCACGCTGCCTTAGCTCAGTCTCATCCCTCAGAACAAGCCCCCACAGCCTCCTCCCCTCGCTTCACCAGCAGATAGTGTCTCATCCCTTTGCCCTCCTTCCAGGAAAGGCTTTGTGTGCGGAGAGAAAGGCTTAGCAAGGCTTTGGGAGGATAACTCAGGAGGATTTGGCACCTCAGACTCCAGAGCTCCAGGATCTCAGCACGTCCACCTTGCAGAGCTTCCTTTGCAGCAGCTCCAGGAACGAGCACCTGGATGAAGGTGACACCTTTATCAGCACAGCTCATGCCTTCATCCCAGACGTAGGGATATTCAGCAGCTCCAGCACAATCTCAGCCTTGGACCCAGCTGGGGAGGGTGCAACTGGGATCCAGGGTGCTCCAGGCACTGCCAAAACACCCACGGGAGCGAGGGGGCAGCTTGGCACGTTGGCTCCTGTGAAGCTCTTTGTTCTCTGCTGATGCCTCCTCAGCTGGAAGACCCAGGGAGATGCAGGGAGTGAGCTGGACATCCCCTGAAGGATGGGGTGCAGGTACCTGGCAGGCAACAGAAGTCCATCAGCTGGATGGAGACGTTTCTCCCCAGCACAGAAGTTCATGCTCCTTCCAGAAAAGCCTCCAGAGTTTCCAGCCTTCCCAGAGGAGGAGGAAAATCAACCCACCACCAAGAAGAATAATCTCCACTGTATTTTACAGCTTTTTTCCTACAGAAACACGTCGCCAGCACTCAAGGAGTCCACATGCCTCTGCCAAAACGTTGAACCCCCAGCTAAAGCAGAAGGATGACTGGGAGCACCCAGGATTTGGGCTCACCCCCTGCACTAAGGACCCCAAAGTTGGCTGCAGAGCCCTTCAAACGCCACCCTCCAGGCCTAGATGTTTTTTTTCAGTGCCAACCTGCTCGGCACATCTGGCTCTTTAGTTCTGAGCTGTCATTTTCCTGGCTGTTAGAGGGGAGAAGATGGTAAAGAGCAGCCCTGGTTTGCAACGCGACTCCTGCGAGAGACGTGACAGGTTTATTTTCCCCGTGCCAACTTCCACATCAAACGTGTTTTCTTTTTCCTTGCTGCAAAAGGGAATAGTCCTCCCCCCTTCTCCCCCTCCCTCCCTCCCAAATCCACCAGCTCCCACAAAGCAGATCCTCCAGCTCTGGTTTTGACACCCCCAGGTCCCCACGACGCCCCCGACAGCCCCTTCTCCACGGGCAGAGCTGGAGGGGGGTGGACGTTTCCTTCCATTCCCTGGCACAAGAAGTAAAGTGGGGGGGAAAAAGAATTAAAAAAAAATAAAGAAAAAATCAAGAAACTTGGTGTTTTTCCCGTGACCCAAATCTCAACGTTTCGCTTGGGTTTTAAACGCTGTCAGGTTGGGAAATAAAAACAAACCCCACACAACAAAAAGACATTCAGGGAAGGGGCTGGTGTTTCAAAAACAACCTCTGCCACACGGGAACGTGGCAGCTCCTTTGAAATGTTGCCTTGTTTGCTTGTCTCCTGGAGCAAAACAGTCAGGGAATCGTTCAGGGCATCACAAAATATTTAGACCGACCCAAATCTCTGAGTTTTTGCAGCTGAAAGGCCCCGTCCCCCTCCCCAAACCCCTCCCAGGGCTTTTTGGCTGGACACAAATCCAGCCACAGGCCGGGGCGGGGGGGAATCCACAGAGCTCAGTTTTTGGGTGTTGCTTTGTTCTGTGGTTGGTTGTTCTTGGTTTATTTTTTGTTTTTTTTTTTCCATTATAGACATTATTAAAAAAAATAAACTTTACAATAATACATTTTAAAGTTGTCGTTGCCTTTTGAGCCGTTTTCTTTTTCAAAAGAAAAGGGGCAAAAAGAAAAAAAAAGGAAATTTAAAAAGCCACACTGTAGATGTCTATGGTTATGTCTGTACATACATCTATGTAGGTATAGGGGAAGGGTATATACATACACTATAGATGTATATATAAAAGAAAATGGAGAGGAACCTATAGAGGCTTCCAACCACCGCTGGGTCACATCCCTTCCCAACCCCACATTCCGCTGGAGATTGAAGGTTAAAAAAGCCAAATAAAGAGAATCTCCCCCTCCAAGCGACAGAGAGAAAACCTCAGGAGGCCCTCAGGCTGTCTGAAGGGCAGTTCCTTTTCTCCTCCACGTCATCCCTCTCGCCGACCACGGGAAAGGGAAAAAACCAACCCCAGGACAACTCAAGAGCTCGAGCGAGTCCCCTGGGAGGATGCAGGAGAGTCTCCCGCCGGCGTGTCCATCCTCAGGATGCTCCAATGCAGACCTCTCGCCAGCCCTGCGGCTGCCCCAGCGTGTCCAGGGTGATGAATCCTCCAAGTAACCTTTGCCAAAGCTCTGCTCGAGGCTGATTTTCCCTCCCTGGTGCCTCTTGCAGCTCTGGATGCCCCGTTGCGGGCTGCACGATGGGGGTTTACCACACCCCTTGGGCTTCCACTTTCAAAAAGGAACCCCAACGCACCATGAAAAAAACCCAAAGGAGGGAAAAAAAAATAAAAATAAAAGGGAAAAATGAAAACAGGAAGAAAAGCCACCAAAGTTTCCCAACGTGGTGAGGGTCCTGGTGCTGCCTGGCCCCGGAGCTCGGCGTTCCCGGTGCTCCAGTCCCCGGGTCCTTCCCGTGCTCCTGCGTGTCCCCAGCCCCCCGGCGCTGTCGTTCTCGCCCCTCTATGACCCCAGCAGCAGGAGGGGGGGAGGGGGAGGGGGAGGGGCACAACGGGCAGGATCCGGCCCGCCCGGTGTCGGCTGCCACCGGCCTTCTGGTCCACGAAGGTTTTCTGGTCTGGCATGACGTCCGTGGTCAGCTGGGTCTGGGGGTGAGGGGAGAGCTTTCAGCAGGGCCCTTTTGGGGGCAAAAGCTGCCATGCTTGGAAAAAAATGACTGGTTTAACCCTCCAGTCAATGGTTCCCAACACGTCCTTCCTGAGCTATTAGAATCATAGAATCCTTTAGGTTGGAAGGAACCTTCAAGATCATCAAGTCCAACCATTGAGCCATTAGGGCTCTAAAGTCCTCTGCTAAAACAGATCAGAATCTGTCAGGGTTGGAAGGGACCCCAAGGATCCCCCAGTCCCAGTCCCCCTGCCATGAGCAGGGACACCTCCCACTAGATCAGGCTGCCCAGAGCCTCCTCCAGCCTGGCCTTAAAGACCCCCAGGGATGGGGCCTCAACCCCCTCCCTGGGCAACCCATTCCAGGGTCTCACCACTCTCATGGGGAAGAACTTCTTCCTCACATCCAGCCTGAATCTGCCCACTGCCAGCTTTGCCCCATTCCCCCTAGTCCTGTTGTTACTCAATATCCTAAAAAGTCCCTCCCCAGCTTTCTTGTAGCCCCCCTAAGACACTGGAAGGCCACAATAAGGTCCCCTCAGAGCCTTCTCTTCTCCAGACTGAACAGCCCCAACTCTCTCAGTCTGCCCTCACAGCAGAGCTGCTCCAGCCCTCGGATCATTCTCGTGGCTCTTCTCTGGACACGCTCCAGCAGCTCCACGTCCCTCTTGTACTGGGGGCTCCAGAACTGGATGCAGTGCTCCAGGTGGGGTATTCCCAGAGGGAAACAGCTCCCGGCCCCAGGACACCCCTCCCCGTGCTCCCCCCTGCCCCAGACGTACCTCTGAGTAGCACAGGCTCTGCTCTTTGGACTTGTTTAGCTTCGGTCCGTGCTCCTGGAGAGGAGAAAAGAGGTTTAGGGCAGGTGTGTGCACCTCGGGGTCCCCAAATTCCCCGACGAGATTCGGAGCTGCCCAGCGAGGGCACGGGGCGATGCCTCCAGCACTCTGCACAGGGCTTTGGGAATTGTGTCTCAGAGGCTATGGTTGGAAGCATCAAGAGCTTGGTGAAAGGTGAGAACAAACTAAAGGGGCTCATCCCTTCTCCCTGGCCAGCCCAGGGCTCCTGCCCGAAGCAGGAGAGGATGCACACCAGCACTCACACAGCTTCATCCCAGCCCTGGGGTCACCCCCACCCTGTTCCCTGCGGCAAACACCCCGGCCGAGGCCCCTGCTGCACCCCTGATCCCACCTCCACTGCCCTCCTGTCCCCCTTGCCACCGAAGGAGCAAAGCCTGAACCCACAAGCCCAGTGCCATGCCAAGAAAGAAGCATTTTCCAGGTTTCCTCAACCCATGTGGAACTCACACTGTTCTCACCCCGAGTGAGCTGAGGCAGAATTTGGGCTCGGGGCAGCGCCGAGCCTCGTGCCAGGCAAGGGATGATGCCAGAAGCCAGGGAAAGGTTGGGCAGGGGATGGAGCCCTCCCTTCCCCACGCCAGACACTCAGCAGCATCCAGACCCCCAATTCCCAGGTATGGCCAGATCCTGCTGGAAACCTGGGCACCAACACCCCGAGATGTCTACACTGAGCAGGACGATTTGCTGCCCGCTGGCTGCAGTGGCTGACGGACCCACTTGGGGTGCAGCCCAGCACCCCCAGTTTGCAGCAGCCACCGGGCTCAGGTCCTACCTGGATGGAGGTGCAGGTGGTGATGATGCTCGTGTCGTACATGGTGTTGCTGTCGTTGATGTCATCCAGCAAGACAGGGCTCTTCTCTGTCTTTGGTGGCAGGGTGACGGGGGGCGAGGGGTTCTTGGGGGAGACGTTCACGTCGGTGCCGTTGCCGAAGGCTTGGATGGCATTTCCTGGGGGGATGAAGGAGCAGGAGATATTTATGGGGGGCTGCACCCTGGTGGCGATGGGGCAGGGTGAGGAGGGGAGTGGGGAAGAGCCTTACGGAGACAAGGGTTTTCCGTGAAGTCTCGGAGGAACTTCTCACACTCCTCCTCCATGTTGCCGCTGCCTTTGCAGGAGCACCAGGGCGAGATGGTGATGCTGGTGGTGCTGGCATCCACGTAGTTGGGCGTTATGTCAAAGCCTGCTCCCGGATGGGGAGGTGGAAGAAGGATGAGGGGCTGTGGTGGGAGAGACCCCTCCCCACCCCGAGACCCCCCAGCACTCACCGATGAGCCCCGCGTAGGAGCCCAGGCACGCCTGGTAGTTGTCCCCGGGGCAGCTGGTCAGGGACTGGAAGGTGGCTTGGCAGTTGGTGTGGAAATCGGCCAGCCGGGACCTGGGGGTGAAGAGGAAGAGGGAGAGGGGTGGGATTTCCCCATCACTCCCAGCACGGAGCAGCTCAGCAGCAAGGAACAGTAGTCTTAAAAAACAGAGGCCAAAATAAGAGGATAAATGGGATGGAGAGAGGAGATCTAAATGAGATAGACTAGATGGTCCTGCTCTGGCAGGGAGGTTGGACTCGATGATCTCTGGAGGTCCCTTCCAACCCCAAACATTCTGTGATTCTGTGTGAGATCTAGACTCAGGAGGTGCAATTCTCCAGTCGCCCCAGCCTGCCAGAGGGTCACAGGCAAGGGAGCGGTGTCTGCCTGCTGGGGATGAGCCCCTGAGCACTGAGGGACCCTCATTCCTCCATCCCTCAGTGCCCCCAAGCTCCCCAGCCCTTCCCAAGCTCTGCCCAGCTCGCAGGGCACACCGTGAACTCACCAGGCTCCTTTGGCTGCCCCTCTCCCAGCATCATTACCCGACTGCAACATCTCACTGCCTGTTTTTCTCTTCCCCCTGAATTGTTTAAGCTGAGCATGCAATTAAAATGCCTGAGGTTGGGGTTTACATTCTCTGTTCTTCTTTTGAAGCTGAGAAAGGGAAAAAAAAAAGCCAAAAGGAAGCCTTGCAAGGATCCTGATGGCTGAGATGTTTGTGTCCTGCCTGCCTTCCCCCATCCCTGCCTGCCTTCCTCCATCCCTGCCCTCCTCCTCCATCCTTGCCTGTCCTCCTCTACCCCTGCCTGTCCTCCTCCTCCATCCCTGCCTTCTTTCCTCCTCCATCCCTGCCTTCTTGCCAGCCTCAGCTCTAGGGTCAAAGCAAAGGTAGAAGGAGCAGAGATGGGAAGAACAGCAGCAGGACCAGGAGGAATAAAGAAGGGACAGGAGGAGCAGAGGAGACGGTTTCCACCCCTAACCCGACTCCTGGCAGCTTCACCCCTTCTCATCTTCTCTCCCCACCCAGCATAACACCCAGAAAAAGCACAAGGAGGGATGGAAGCCCCAGGATCTCCAGGTGTCATCAGCAATCCCGTGCTGCTGACACAACCCCACGCTTCCAGACGATGCTTTGGGGATTTCTCTCGGGATAAAACAGACCACTGAGGTGGAAGGATAAAGAAGTGGGAAGGGTGTAAAAGAGGACAGACAGAGGGATCAGGGGGACAGATGGATGGGCTGCAGTTTTCCCAGTTGACTCCTTCATTAAATGGATAGATGTGAGGCTGAGCCGTGGCCCACGCTGGATCTCAATCACTGGGAGGAATCTCTGCGAAGCAGCCAAGTTGCTGACACTGTAGATGAGACCTCGTGTTTCACAACAGAAAATCTCCTCAGCTCGATTTTTCCACACTTGATAGAGAAAGCAGAAGGCATACATTATTTTCTTTAGCTTCCTTTTCCTTCCTTCTTAATTAAATGTCATCTTTGTCCAACCAGCAATTGAATCATCCAACGGTACCTGCCTAAAGCCATAAAAACTGATGAAAATAAAGGGTAGAAATTGTGTTGGGGTTTTTTTTCCCCCTTTTTAAATAGGAATGATATGTTTTCAGAAGGTTTTGATCAAATTAAGTGGAGGAACAAATGAAGCAGTGATTGAAGTAGCAGGGATCTGCAGGGATCCTCTACATCCCCCCAGCACTTTTCATCCCCCCCAGATCTCACGAGCACTAAGGGATGGGGCAGCAGGTACCCCTGACACACAGCCAGCACTGGGGAGGAGCTGAGGTGATGCTGCTGAGCCCACGGCCACTGCACTGTGCTCAGGAAAAGACATACAAGGGAATAAAGTATAAAGAATAAAGCTGGACCCGAGCACTGGATGCTCCATGTGGGAATGCAGCAGTTTCCTGGAGACTTTTGCTGTTTCCAGCCATCCCTGACTGGGAGTTTTTCCAGGTCATGAGGTTTCACACTCACTGCCATGACCATCTCCTGTGGAGCAGCTGAACATCTCCTGTGGCCTCCCTGGTCCTTTGGGGACCACAGCATCACCCCACAACGAGCTCCACCTTGCCCTTGGCACCTTCTTGCTGCTTGCCATGGCTGGGCACACAAGTCACACTCGCTTTGCTCCTGCCCATGGGCTGCCAGTGGTGTGAACTGGATTATTCTCCCACTTTACACCAGCTGCCTGACCCACTTAGAGCCTCCTGACAGGCTGCAAATTTCCAGGGCAAGGTCAGCCTCTTCCTCTGGGCTATTCAAGAGCTCCCAAAGAGAAGACAGGACTCCTGGGCACCTGCCTCAGGGAGAGAGGCAGTGGGGGGTATGGGGTGACTGCTCCTTGACAAGGGGAAGGAGGATGGATTTGGTCTAAAGCACTGATTTCACGAGAAAAGAGGATTCTACAGCTCTCCTGGGCCACGTGTGAAACAAGAAGCCAACTTTCTGCCTTTCCTCCCTCGTGGAAACAAAACACCCATCCCAGGAGCAGGTTATCTTCACTAGAGCCACATTTATCTTCCTCCTGAGTGATTTAGCACTTGGTGAAAGAAGAACTCCCTGTGACAGAGGTGCAGAGAGGGAGGCTGGGGGCTCCCCCCACCCACCCACCTCTTCCTGGGGCTCAGCTCTCAGCACGTGGTCCCCCTTAGCAGAGCTGTGCACAGAGCCCAGCATGTCCAGTGGACATCAACCCTCCCTGCAGCCAAAACCAACCCGGGGGCAAAGACTTTTGCTCCCTCTTTGCAAGCAGGAGCAGAAGGAAGCCCCCGGGGTGGGCAGGGCAGAGTCGAAACGCCCCAACTCCGCTCCTTTCCCACCGATCCCCCTGGCAGGAAGGGAGCTGGATTCCCTCCTCCTCCTCCACCTCCACGGGAGAGAAATAAACTTTCCGACAGCATTTCCCCTCTCCCCAAATCAGAGGCGAAGGCACACGTCAGTTCTCTTAAAGAACTGTGGCAAGTTCATCACCGAGCGCCACGCAAATTTGTCACGCCGCTCCCCGGGGCCCTGCTCCTGGCTTGTAGCATCCTCTAAGGCAAATGTTATTCTTTTCATAATACATGACAAG